TGGCCCTGCACGGCATAGCTCATGGCTTCACTGAGTTACGCAAGCCCCTTCGCCACGACAAGGCAGTGATCCATGAAGGGGCCAAGCTGAATAGGAACCAAAAATATAATGCAGCTCCAAAAAAGCAAATGCAGTCCTAGGCAGCATCAGAACTATAATTCTACTCTATTAGGGGTTGGTTAGAACACATCTAGAACATTAGCATCAGTTCTCGGAATTGCATTTTAGAAAGGATATTGACAGACTGGAGGTCTCCAGGCAGGAACTAGGTATCTTTAGCCTGGAGAGGAGAAAATTACAGAGAGACATGATAGCTGAAGAGCCGATACATAGAAGACAGGGCGAAAACCACAAGGAGCTACAAGGTTTAAACTACAAGGAAGCAAATTTCAGCTGAACATCAGCTGAATGTCCAGGAAGAGCTGTTCAACAATGGAACGGACTGCCTGAGGAGTTGCTGGAGGTTTTAAACAGAGGCTGGATGGTGTAATGGTGGAGTCCCGTACTGGGCAGGGGGGTGGCCTAGATGACCTCCAATGTCCCTCCCAATTCTTATATTTTCTGGTTTTATGAATGGGTTTATACCCCACCTTTTTTGGTAGATTAAGGAAGGCATCAGAAACAAAATAATAGCATAATATCAAAGGTCAAAAACGTAAAATGTCCTACTGATTAAGCATAGATGCTGTTTATTGTTAACATGCAGACCTTACTGCAATAAAAAGCAGTGATGGCTATTTGTATAAAATTTAAATAAACAAGCCTCTGAATTCAGGAGGCTGAGAATAAGAATGATGGAAAATTGTCTCCTCTTGTGCTTCCTAGAAACATTTAGCTGTTAGGAACAAAACTGTTGACTTGTCTGAAGGCTAATGGAATAATGTCTTCTAGACTTCTGAAGAACCATTATTAAAATTGGAGGATTTAAAACATGATGAAAACCTTTGACAGTCAATATAGGAAAACTGTAGCATGATACCTGCTCTGCCAAACCACCCTTGTTACTGCGATGCATATTAACCACATGTCAAACAGAAAGTACAGTATTCACTTCATGAGTCATTCAATCCTTGGAGAAATATCTTGCATGCAAAGAAACATAAGCAACTGCAGTTCCCATGCCGGAGACAGGTCACCACAAACTGGGCTGAAATCAAAATATACAAACCATCCCCAAAAATATAAAAACCAGGCATAATTATCAGCTATTGTTACCACCAACGTAGATGTCAAAGCCCCATCAAGTAGCCTGCAACACATTCTTAAGAGATTACACATTTAGCAATGCTATGCAAAACGGGTTACTCCCAAAATTTGGGACATTAATCATTTCTACAGTGACATCATTAACAGAAGGACACAGGGGAAGAAAGGTGTCGATACTATACTTGGCAAATGCTGAAAAGAAAAACATCTGCATACAGACATTGTTTTCATAGTTCTTGGGATTTCTATGATTGACAGCATCCTAAACAGATGGCTCACTGTAGATAGGACAGGGAGTTTATTAATATAGCACTGTTTACTGACCTCACTTGGTACCTCCAGATGTGCTCAATTTAAACTCCCAACATCATCCAGTAAATGACCTTGTTGGCCAAGAACTCTAAGACTTGAAGTTCAACAGATTTGAAAAGCAGCAGCTTAGGAAACGTGGATGGAGTTTTTAGTCATTTCAACTGGTGGAATCTTTTCAGCCAAGGCCAATTATCCTATTGTTTGCTACCTTTCAAAACACGCTCTGTGACATTTGTACTACTATTCTATTCCTCTGCCTTTACGGGCAAAACATAGCAATAAAGGATTGACTTCTATTTATTTATTTGGTAAATTTATACAGCTGCCTATGGGACTCTGAGAGGCGTTTCAAGCTAACAACACAAAAACAATAGAACAACGTAACCCAAAACATAACAACAAAAATCATTAAAAGCCAATGAAAACCATTAAGAACCACACACACCAAAAGAACCACATAATCCGCGGGAGAGGGCAATCTCGAGCATCAACTTCACTAAACGGTGGGGAAGCCCTGCAGGTAATAATCATGCAGACTGTTGGGGGGTGACCCCTTCTGGAGCCCCGGAGCCCAGAAGATGCCCCGGGGGTCCCTCCAGCCGTCCCCCATCCTTGGTGGCCTCCTCTTCCTCTTCCTCCTCCTGCTCTGCGGCCGGGGGGGCTCTACTCCCCGCCAACGTAAACTGAGTAGGTTCTCGTGGGGGGGGGCGACCAAGGGACCCCAAGGGGCGCTTCCCCGCTGGAAATGGTCCCCGCCCACTTGTCCTCCCTCAGCCTCCCCCCTTGCGCTGCCTCCGAGACCCCTCCCCATTCAGCCCTCCTTCCTGGCCCCCACCCTCCAGGGGCCCCTTCCTTGCTTCCTCCTCCTCGGGGGCCCCCA